GACTAGTTACGGCCGCACGCGACCTGCCGTTAGTCGGACGACCCGTAACGAAACTCCACAATACCTACGTCCTACGGCAAGTTATCCGCCGTAAAATCGAATCAACATCAACAACCCAAGACCACAGGAAAGTCGAAGAAGAAGTTATCGGTGTATTAAATAGATACCCAAAGTCCGTCGCTCCTTAAAACGTCCGGGTAGCTCCTGTCATTACGGTACCAGTCATGTATTGGTCAATGACACCCCAAAACCGTGACACCTCCACGGGTCTAGTACGACCTTTTACTTAAGGAGTAGAGTATCTCGAAAAGGTCTCCTGCCTTCGTACATCACGAGGATTTTAGAGAACCATGTTGTCCGAGGTAAAAGAGACCCGAACTACTTTGTGTCACCTGGTTGTGTCGTCTTACTGTCTACCGAAGTGTTTGGTAGCGACTGACACCCTTGAAGTGTGAACCTAAATAGTTCGTTGAACCTAAAAACGAGGAGAGGGTCGGAAAGAGGTCTGATTGACCGCGGAACTTAAGTTTACTTTATTTTTGAAACGAAAAAGCAGACTTTTCTCCTGAAACCTGGGGGTGACCACGTTTGACAGGTCCGAAGAAAGGAATCGGGTCTCATTCTGCGGAGAAGGCAACAGAACTCAAGTCTTCACCGAACTGGTACCCTATGCCGATAACATGGTAAAGCGGCCTCGTGCAGACACTTGTCACTAAAAACTATGGACCTGAGGTCGAAAGTCATGGTAGACAGAACTTGAGGGGGTTTAAGACCTTCGCTTGAGAAGAATCGTTACGACCATATTCCGACGCGTAGAGAAAACAACCACGTCGCAAAGACGGTGTAAATGGGAAGGTGTCTGATAAAACACCTACACGAAACCTTTGACCGTGAGACACTTGTCGAACGAGAAACTCCTTAAAGAAAAACAACAGAATGAGGTGACTACCTGCCCACCATGACTGCCCAGGACCTCGTCAGTCTAGTCGTCCCAGAAGGGTATGAACACTAAATCAAAATGACTTGGTTCGACATCACAAAAAAGTTCGAGTCCTTGGGAACGTCCACAAAGCTCAATAATTCTGCTAAGTTCACTAAGCAAACTTTGGGATATCATAATGAAAAAGTACTATAAGATTATAAATCTCTATTCCTATAAACCCTCAAAAAGAGAATTCGACCATACGTATTAGCGTTATAATTTATTATTTTCCGACGTTATAAAAGTCAACAAACATTACCTTTAGTCTTACATTACTAAAAAACAAAAAATAATTTAACGTATGCTTTTATTCTAAATAGTGTTTATTAAGATTAAAAGACTCTGTCATGACATATAATAAAACGTGACAAACCTCCTCGACACGAATTTTCCATCCCATCCATTCTACCTCTTGGTCGAGCTCACTCGATCTTAAACTTCATGTCGTCTGAAGGAGTGTTCTCGGGGAGGAGCGTGTTTGTGCTTGGCGTGTTACTGGTTACTCCCGTGCCTCTATTGAAACACCGTAGCTACCTTCGACTGTCCGCCATCCGGTAGGTCAATGAAATGGCCGAGACTACTAACCAGCATGCGAAGAAAAGGTGTCTACGTAACAAAATACATAAACAATAAAAAGGATTCCCAACCAAGTACTGAGTGCATTAATGGACATTTTCAAATGTTTGATTGTGTTTTGCTGTTATAAATCTTTTTTTTTTACTTGGTCTGAGGAACTATTCTAATTTTTTGAGATAGGATTTTTGAGTTTTCTTAAGCTGTATGCCATAATCAGCAATATTAAAATAATAAAAGGCTTGCAATATTTCAGTTGATTTGTAATGAATCCAGAATGTATGACATTTTTGTTTTTTTTAATTGCATTACAGAAAATAAAGAACTTTATCACAATATTCTAATTTTCTGAGACAGTCCTGTATATATATAGGACATAAAATAGTGCCAGAGAATGTTTGAGATGTGCAAGTAAATACAGATAAAAGATAAATAGTGCAAGAAGAGGCTATACACAAGTAAATGGAATATGATATATTAGATAAATAGTTAGCAAGATACATGTTTATGGATGTTCTTTACAGAGTCCAGGTGTTTAATAGTCCCTCAACAAAATGCAATGGGAATTATTTCATTGGATGTCAGAATATTGCAGGAAATAAGATTTTTGAGAAACATGTTTATGATACCCACACCTTATTATGATTGTTGAAGGGTAAATGCAATCACCAGAAGAAGAGCTGCTACTTCACAGTTAACTCATAACTCCTGTTGTTTCTTCTGCAGAGCCCAATTCTGAAAAGTAATGGTAAAAAGAGTCAGGACTCGTCTGCGGTGAAGAAAGGAGCCAATGATAATGGGGCCAACAACCAGCAGGTACAATATTTGGTTCTGATTTAAGTGTAGAGAGAACATCTGATTTTGAACCAGATGGATAGATGGATAGATAGATAGATGGATAGGTGGATAGGTAGGTGGATATATGGATAGATAGGGAGGCTGTGGCTCAGTGGGTTAGTGTGCTGATCTTCGAATCAGAGGATAGCAGGTTCGAGTCCCACTGCAGTCAGCATGTCGTTGTGTCCCTGAAACACTTCACCCCAAATTGCTCCTGTGGGGATTGCCCACAGTATTGAGTATATAAGTCGCTTTGGATAAAAGCGTCTAACAAGTAACATGTAATGTAATGGGTAGGTAGATAGATAGATAGACGGATGGATGGATGGATGGATAGATAGATAGCCTGTAGATGTTAGACCAGTTTTAAAAGGTATGTATCATTTTTAAAAGGATCAACCTTTGCTGCTCTGAATGATTTTTATTCCAAGTGTTGTGCTTTTCTACTTTTTCTACAGAAAGAAGATAAAAAACTTCAACCCAGAAGACTGCAAGACAGTTTTGAGAAAGGTTTGTCCATTTAACATGTGTAACTTTGGGACTGCACGTACTCTGTTGAAGCTAACTTAGCAAAATATAATTAACTAAATGGGGAATACAAATCTTCCTTTCAATCAGAAGTGCATATTAGGTTAAACACATGAGGAATTTCCTGACTGCATACTCAACACAATAAGAGGATTTCAATGGTACAAACAATAACAAATATGTGTTTATACGAGTAAATGAGCTTCTCTTTTCACAGAAGGATCTCCAAGCAAAGACTCCGAGCACATTCTATCCTCCAAGGTCTTCCTCAATTTCAAATTTGACCGAGAAGCCATCATGAAATGTTTCGACTACTGACAGCGCTGGTTCTCTCCTGTGATGGCATCAAACCGTGGATACTAAAAGGACTTTTTTTTTACCTTTTATAGTCAAAGCTGGGATGTTACTGAAGCTTGCCCTTTCGGCACATTTCTCGTCATGTATGTAGTTGTTTATTTCCCATTGAACACATCCAATAAGGCTTTTTCTACCCAATTGTCCAGAGCTTAGAGAAGGTATGCTAAGCTAACAGCACTGTGTTCAATATGTCTCAGGCAGAATCCTAACTTTACTTCTTTGAATAACTGAATTCATGATTCAATCTGCAGGAGAAAACACATGAGATCAGGACTTTAATCTGTTGTCTTTTAAAAGGTCAAACGTTTTGAGACCATAATGGATTTTAAGCACATTTGAGGTCACGGGTGAAACATCAGCTGTGATATCTGTGGTGAATTTTGCCACTGTTGAATTCATCATGTTATTGTGATTTTTAAGATTATTTCGGTGTTGTTAATTTCCTCCGTTCTTCAAACTGAGTGCCTACAAAGTTGTGTTGGCTGTTAAAAAATGGGAAGGTATTGAGAATATGATTGGCTTTATATATTTATATAGTGTTATAGGCTGTATTATGAAAATTACTTTAGATTTTAAACAGGAATGGAGAGTTAAATATTAAATACCAGTGGTCTTTGCAGTTGGTCTTAGCAAGTTGAATATCATTTACATGAGATGCCAACATTGAAAGGCAATCATCTATGTGGCTTTCATTCAAAAGTCACGTTTTTGCATCGGATTTTAACATTTTAATATTGTCATTCATCATGTGCACACACGAGGAACATTACATCTCAATGTGGTTAACTAGTTTTAGTATTTTAAGCCACAGACTTCCATACATTGTTAATTTGCCTTAAAGTGACCCACATCACGCGGCTGTTCGTTCGTTTGGTTTCGGCAGGGTTCACATGTTTAATGTCGTGGAGATTTCACCAGTCAGTCATATTTTTTTTTCTACACAACGCACTCGTTAACTGCTCTATCATTTGGATGGTATGGCAGGTTGTAGACTCCTAGCTTTGGAGCATGTTGGACGAACACTTTGTTAGACTACAGTGAGTCTATCAGGTACTCAAAACCTTCACAGAGGACTCGGCAGGATTTCGTTTTCATATCTGTTTTTCAAACCCAAAGACCTGATCTTTGCAATGTCCCTCATACAGTAGGTCTTGTATACATGTGACTGGCTATTGATGTGATGCTCACTGGGGTTTCTTTGTTATTGATTGTACAGATGGTGATCTCACGTTGTCTTTCGGCTTTAATGTGTTTGTCTTAAACTGTGAATATTAATAAAGTTCGTTTTTTTTCATATGTTGATTTTTAAACATGAATGATTTAGCTTGGGTCAGAAGAATTTCATTGCCATTTCTACATTGTAGCTTTGTGCATATCACAATAAAACATTTGAATTTTAATTATATTCAATACAATACCCATTTCATCGTCCTTTCTCCCTGAGAAATGCTCACAAACTGGAGATCGTATTCAGTTGTATGCGACACTGGTAGGTTTCATCAAACAGTTAATGAAAAAAAAAACACTTGCGGACCACCTAACTCCACAAATATCCAAAAACACATCGTTTTTCTAGAACAGATTACAAATCGCCTGAAACTGGTACAAAGAAGTGGCAACATGTGTGATGAAGGTGTTGCGCTGGGCTATATGATGCAATCGAAACTTAAGCTTCCTCCATTGCAGAAATATTCGCGCGAGAGTGGGGAAAACTTTTATTTATTTCAAATGTGAAATTTTACCAATATACTCACGGACCACTAGGGGGCGCTTACGGTCCCGGACCACACTTTGAGAAGCACCGCATTAAAACAATGAGTCAGCCTACTACCACTTTAAGAATATAGGATTCAAAGACTAATGTCACAGCAGGATTTGGAAAAACTTGTCGATGCTTTTATCTTCAGTAGACTCGTCTGCCGTAATGGTGTATTTGCAGGTCTCACTAAAAAATGTATAAGAAAGATAACACTAAGAAAGTGGATCACATCACTCCAGTTCTGAGGACTTTACACTGGCTTCCTGTCTGTCAGAGAAGCCGAATACTGCTGCTGGTTTATAAAGCGTTAAATGGTTTAGGGCCAAAATACTTTTCAGATCTCCTGCTACCTTGTGAACCATCCAGAACTCTCAGGTCTTCAGAAATAACTGTTAACTGTAACGTAGTGTACTAAAAACTGTTGTTTAAGTGATTGTTTTGCCAGTGTGTCTACCTTTTCAATTCCTTCCACCCCAACGTGAGCATAATCATATAGGACCAGGTTAGCTGACTGAATAGGAAGCATCTTGGAAGTGTCATGGACTCCAAATTCACCATTGGAAAGAATTGTGAGACGGTGTGTATAAAAGCACATCCTGTTTGACTCAGACTGTCCATGTTGATTTTCTACTCCAGGATGCCAGGCTCTCTTGGGTGAATGTCCTGTTTTGCGTTACAAACCAAACAGTTTGGACAGATTTGCTTTCTGACCTACTTCTATGAGGTTGATAACCACCGATAAGCAAACATGTGTTCAACCTGGATGAACCTCGATTTTAAATATGCTGCCCCTTCTACTTGGAAAAATATACAGAAGGAACTTAAACTGTCAGATTTGATCACTATGGGGGAATTCAAGTCCATCTTAAAGGACAGAGAACAACAAACCATTGGTCGATGTGACTGCTCGTATATCCTATAATTGAAGTTTTTAATGATTTATAATAGTTTGCCATTTCATTTGTGTTTTACGACCGCTGTATTCGTCTGCCTGTATTGTCTGTTTTATCTGTTGTAACTTTGTCCATGGATAAGAGATTTTAATCAAAATGAAACTTTTACCTGGTTAAATAAATATACATCAACAAAAAAAATAGGTAGGTGCGTATAGTCCAATCTCAACTTTACTTTTTTCATGTCTATACTAATAGCAGGATCTCTTCCTTAGGATTGCTCTGATCGAAAACCATCTCCTCTGCTCCAGTTTGTGATTTCATTTCATTTCAAACCTTTATTTAGACAGATTGGTCCCTTGAGATCATCGATCTCATTTACAAGGGAGACTGCATCATTTAGTTCCATAATGATATATAAACGTTATAGACAGGGGTGCACATAACTTTTTTGCTCTCTCTCTCTCTCTCTCTCTCTCTCTCTCTNCTGTGACTGGCAGGTGACTGGGAACCACTGTTCTCTGCTCACTGACCTCCCTCTGGACCGAGTGGTGTCTCCTGTCCTGCTCACTGAAGGACAGCCTGTAACCGAGTTAACCCTGTCTCTCTACTCGTCTTTCTATTCTCTACTTCTATTTGAATAATTTATTTAATCAACTTTTTTGCTTCTATGTCCTGTGTTTACATCCCTCAATACCTGAGGACTGTACGACGAAGCCGGTTCAACATAACCTGGATATGTTTGAGTTACCCGGTTGACCTAATCCAAAACAAACGCGCTCTCGCTAAGCGGTCCTACGACGCTGCTTATCAACTCGATAACTCAAACCAGCCGTGCCCTATCTAGTTATGTGCGCGTTCACATAAAAGGGGCGGGGTTAGCAACATTTGACCAATCACAAACATGGAGAAGCGCACTAACAGCGCAGCATCATACTTCCTGAATGAAAAGTCAACTATAATATTAGACAAATATGAAGACGTTAAACTTTAAACATCCATGACTTAAACACTTTATCCAGGATAAAAGCCACATAGTTGCACCTGCAAGGTGAATACAGCTGGTAACAGAAAAAGTGTTTGAATGCGTACATTAACAGGTTTATGATATCACTGCCCCGTCTAAGACACGATCTGACTTTATTTACATTTGTCTCGAGTGTTTCGTCAACTTAATGTGTTGCTTCAAATAATACTTCTGCATACAGTATGTGACACTGTAAGTGTTGCACGGCCAGATACGGCTCAGCTGACTCAGATAAGGAAATATATGATATATAAATATGATACATTATGTGATAGGAATGATAATGGGACACATCGACGTCTGCACTCACAGTGTCGCAGACTGTACGTAACGTTACTTTGATCCGGTTACTTATGTTGTGGCAGATATTTAAGTAAGCTTTCTTAACGCTAATGTTATAGTCAAATTGCTCTGAAGATGGGAGGTGATATTCGATTAATTTTCACGTTCACACAGTCAGTTGATTTTTGCCGGCCGTCTTTCCTGCAACGGCACTTTTTCTGTATTCCCTTTCTCCTATAATATGACTTGATAGCTTTAAACTCCGCACACTGAGCTCTGATTGGTCAGCAGGCGTTGCTTTCACTGAGTTGATCTCTTCTCCTGGAACCTAACCTACTCTGGACCAGGCTAGCCGTTCAGCATAAGTTACCATGGAGATCTAGCCCGCTAAGAAGTGAACCAGCGTCGTAGGACCGGAAACCCAGAGTTTTCTCTGAAGTTAGCCCGCTAAGCGAAAATCCGGCTTCGTAGTACAGGCCTCAGGACACTGTTCAGAAAGCCTGTGTAAACTCACTCTGACTTATCTTTGGAGGCGTAGGTTCACAAATCTCTCGATAACAAACATCCTGCTGTACTTTATACGTCCTTTTGTACCTGCGAAGAATAAAACATGGATCCATAAATCACAAATAATCTCTGCTCTTATTCCAATAAGCAGTTCAGATGTTCAAGCCTCACACATGCTGAACACAGGGCTGACTCACAGGTAGTGGCACACTCCGTCCTCCCACACAGGCACACTCTTGGTCTCAGAGTACAGGCGGGTGCAGGTGTGAGGCACTCTCTGGCACACTGCGGACACACACACACAAGAGGAGGTGAGAATGTTTCTGTGAGTGAGGAAAGCTGGAGGCTTCAGGAGGGATGAGAGGAGGAGGGCCTTCTCTCTGTCTGACTGATGCTTTTAGGAAAGAATGCTTAAACACTGCCGCCGGTTGTTTAGGTGAGAAAAGACTCCAGGGCAGACAGCCTCTCCTCATCACAGCTCCATCAACTTATTCTCGTAACTTATTCCTTTAAGGACGCTTGTGTACATTGTAATGCTACTATACCAGGACAGGATTGGTTCTGATAAGACTTCCGTATTTATAACAGTAACACTGTTTGACTTTTTAGAAACCTTACAGACGTCCAGACATGTATTTAGATTCAGCCAGTGTATATACAGTTAAAGGATATTTTTTTATTATTTTTAGTTCAGACTGATCAGCTATAAGTGTCTAGTGTTTTTCTTTGATATGTAGGCAGGAATATTTTGTAGGCGACGTTATAGTAATATAAACAAATATTATAATTATAATGATTATTGTTGTTTTATAAATTGTAAAAAATCTAATATAGTTCCTAATATAATATTTCTTTAAATGGAAGAGAAACAGGGAAATACCTTGTTTTGTGACCTTTTAAAATGATTTGTCACAAAAAAAACAATTATTGTAATAACATTAAGGGAAAACATTTCATATGAAATGTCTTCAGAAAATCGCTAAGATGTTTTTACAGGACTGCCTGGCTTGTTAAGTGGGGAAGTTCATATTTAAGCAGCCTTCATAAGAGATGAGACACCAATAATCTGAATGTTTATATCTGCAAATACATTCCCTTCAAGGGGGAGGATTGTATCCCTTCTCTTACATTCTATCCAGGCACATCATCTATTTCCCTGTGGTTTAATGTGATTTATGAAGTTACTAAAGAGAAGAATATCAGCAAAAGGAAGCTCTCATAAATGTTTTTGTTTGTTCACTATAATTCCCTCCTTTTACACTTGACTAACTCATCTAATAAAAAAGTATGAATTCATATATTATTATTTTTTATTAAGTATTTGTTGTTTTTAATTTCTTCTTTTGAGAGACAAAAATAACATTGTTGTCGGGAATATTAATTTAACTAAATAAATGAAAGACCTTTAAACGTGTGCCTTTTCCTTGTACTGTCCTCTATATACAAAACAATTGTATTTGTATTGAGGCTGTCAGCCTCAGTAGAAATGTTAAATCGTGGTTTCTTTCAGTACACTATCGTATGTTCTAAAAGAGTAAAGGAGTGTATATGGAGAGAGGCCATTCAACTTACACTTTGTGAATTTAAAACAGTCGCGAGGAATGGATTTATTTGAAAGGGACAAGGCTTCTCTTATAAAGACTGACAGCAACTTTCTTCATTAATAATGCCGTATCAATGAAGTTCTTCCTGTTAGAAACCTGTTTAAAGCACAGACTACGTTCATATTCTTCTTCAACTATTAAAGCCTAAATGAAAAGAGGACTTCAAATTGTCTGAAGATGAATCTGAGACACAGGAAGGACGAATGAAGAGGGATATTGTTCTCAAATAACAAACTGCTGCCAGGACACTCACTGCAAATAGTATGTTGCTTTGTGCCTTTGCTGCCCTGCCTTCATGTTACATGCATGCCCCTGAGCTAACCAAGCCATTTATAAATGAGTGGGGTAGACTGGCAGTGGAGCGTGCTTCCTGCTTTTAAGGAACCAGAGTTCTATAGCTATCAGGTTTGTTTACATGATGAAATGCAAATCTAATGATGTTTTACTTTAAATTCACACTTCAGATACTATAGTGACTTTCAGAGAAATCTAAACCCTTGGGAACACAAAGACAGGAGAGTAAATCCTGCAGTGACACACAGGCACATCTTTCACTCAGAAGCAGCTATACACCTATTAGAGCGGTATACTGATAAATGCTATGCCTTTAGGAACAAAAATAAATGGTATTGTTCACATTTGAATGGTATTATATAATGGATCCATTTTCTAATCCCTCGCTAACACATTTGTATCTCTTAAATTATGAACATTTCTGGATATTCCTTTTGATATTCTGTCTCTCATTAGTCAAATCAACCTACCATTAAAATGATGGACTGTTCATTTCTTTGTAAGTGGGTAAACTTACAAAATTGGCAAGGGATCAAATGATTATTTCCTCCACTGTAGTTAAATACCTTTATGCTGGGATTTGTAAAAGTAAAAATTAAGAAAAAAATACTTTAAAAATAGAATTACAAACAAACAACTAAATAAAAGAGGTATTGGTATTAAACATAAAGACAAAGAACATGCCAACTCCACATAGGCTAACATGCTACACTATAGTGTGAACATGGTAGGTCTAGCTATATTTCCTCATTTCAGCAGGTCACTCATCAGGAGGTTGCTGGTTCGATCCCCTCTGCAGTCTATTGAACATGAAATGACTCCCAATTGGCTCTCGATGTGTGTGTGAACATTCTTCACTCCTGATGAGCCGCTGGTGGTGGTCTCTGCCAACAGGGTACTACTGTATGGTGAATGTTGACAAGTGTTGGAAAGCGCTTTGAGTTATGCTATTTTCTCAATATTTAGGTATATGGAGAGAGGAATGTAAGAATTTGATTGTATAGTGCAACTGCCTGTTATACTGTATATATGACAATACAATATCTCGAATCTTGAATATGGAGCTACAGTGGGGCAAAAAAGTATTTAGTCAGCCACCAATTTTGCAAGTTTTCCCACTTAAAAAGATTAGAGAGGCCTGTAATTTTCATCCTAGGTATACCTCAACTATGAGAGACAAAATGAGAAGAAAAAAAAATCCACATTGTCAGATTTTTAAAGAATTTATTTGCAAATTATGGTGGAAAATAAGTATTTGGTCAATAACAAAAGTTCATCTCAATACTTTGTTATATACCCTTTGTTGGCAATGACAGAGGTCAAACGTTTTCTGTAAGCCTACACAAGGTTTTCACACACTGTTGCTGGTATTTTGGCCCATTCCTCCATGCAGATCTCCTCTGGAGCAGTGATGTTTTGGGGCTGTCGCTGGGCAACACAGACTTTCAACTCCCTCCAAAGATTTTCTATGGGGTTGAGATCTGGAGACTGGCTAGGCCACTCCAGGACCTTGAAATGCTTCTTACGAAGCCACTCCTTCGTTGCCCGGGCGGTGTGTTTGGGATCATTGTCATGCTGAAAGACCCAGCCACGTTTCATCTTCAATGCCCTTGCTGATGGAAGTAGGTTGTCACTCAAAATCTCACGATACATGGCCCCATTCATTCTTTCCTTTACACGGATCAGTCGTCCTGGTCCCTTTGCAGAAAAACAGCCCCAAAGCATGATGTTTCCACCCCCATGTTTCACAGTAGGTATGGTGTTCTTTGGATGCAACTCAGCATTCTTTCTCCTCCAAACACGTCTAGTTGAGTTTTTACCAAAAAGTTCTATTTTGGTTTCATCTGACCATATGACATTCTCCCAATCCTCTTCTGGATCATCTAAATGCTCTCTAGCAAACTTCAGACGGGCCT